CAAGGTTGGTACAACTAGAGATTACTGTAATGTGTACATGTGCAACATTGGCATAACTAGAGATTACTGTAATGTGTACATGTGCAACATTGGCACAACTAGAGATTACTGTAATGTGTGTGCAATGCGTGCGTACATGTGCAAGGTTGGTACAACTCGAGATTACTGTAATGTGTACATGTGCAAGGTTGGTACAACTAGAGATTACTGTAATGTGTACATGTGCAACATTGGCATAACTAGAGATTACTGTAATGTGTACATGTGCAAACATTGGCATAACTAGAGATTACTGTAATGTGTACATGTGCAAGGTTGGATTACTGTAATGTGTACATGTGCAACATTGGCATAACTAGAGATTACTGTAATGTGTACATGTGCAAGGTTGGTACAACTAGAGATTACTGTAATGTGTACATGTGCAACATTGGCATAACTAGAGATTACTGTAATGTGTACATGTGCAACATTGGCATAACTAGAGATTACTGTAATGCGTACATGTGCAACATTGGCATAACTAGAGATTACTGTAATGTGTACATGTGCAACATTGGCATAACTAGAGATTACTGTAATGTGTACATGTGCAAGGTTGGTACAACTAGAGATTACTGTAATGTGTACATGTGCAACATTGGCATAACTAGAGATTACTGTAATGTGTACATGTGCAACATTGGCATACAACTAGAGATTACTGTAATGTGTACATGTGCAAATTGGCATAACTAGAGATTACTGTAATGTGTACATGTGCAAGGTTGGTATAACTAGAGATTACTGTAATGTGTACATGTGCAACATTGGCATAACTAGAGATTACTGTAATGTGTACATGTGCAAGGTTGGTACAACTAGAGATTACTGTAATGTGTACATGTGCAAGGTTGGTACAACTAGAGATTACTGTAATGTGTACATGTGCAAGGTTGGTACAACTAGAGATTACTGTAATGTGTACATGTGCAAGGTTGGTAAAACTAGAGATTACTGTAATGTGTACATGTGCAAGGTTGGTACAACTAGAGATTACTGTAATGTGTACATGTGCAACATTGGCATAATCTAGAGATTACTGTAATGTACATGTGCAAGGATACAACCAGAGATTACTGTAATGTGTACATGTGCAAGGTTGGTACAACTCGAGATTACTGTAATATGTACATGTGCAAGGTTGGTACAACTAGAGATTACTGTAATGTGTACATGTGCAAGGTTGGTACAACTAGAGATTACTGTAATGTGTACATGTGCAACATTGGCATAACTAGAGATTACTGTAATGTGTACATGTGCAAGGTTGGTACAACTAGAGATTACTGTAATGTACATGTGCAACATTGGCATAACTAGAGATTACTGTAATGTGTACATGTGCAACATTGGCATAACTAGAGATTACTGTAATGTGTACATGTGCAAGGTTGGCATAACTAGAGATTACTGTAATGTGTACATGTGCAAGGTTGGCACAACTAGAGATTACTGTAATGTGTACATGTGCAAGGTTAGTTGGCATAACTAGAGATTACTGTAATGTGTACATGTGCAACATTGGCATAACTAGAGATTACTGTAATGTGTACATGTGCAAGGTTGGTACAACCAGAGATTACTGTAATGTGTACATGTGCAAGGTTGGTATAACTAGAGATTACTGTAATGTGTACATGTGCAAGGTTGGTACAACTAAGATTACTGTAATGTGTACATGTGCAACATTGGCATAACTAGAGATTACTGTAATGTGTACATGTGCAACATTGGCATAACTAGAGATTACTGTAATGTGTACATGTGCAACATTGGCATAACTAGAGATTACTGTAATGTGTACATGTGCAAGGTTGGCATAACTAGAGATTACTGTAATGTGTACATGTGTTGGCATAACTAGAGACTGCTAATGTTGTGTACATGTGCAACATTGGTACAACTAGAGATTACTGTAATGTGTACATGTGCAAGGTTGGTACAACTAGAGATTACTGTAATGTGTACATGTGCAAGGTTGGCATAACTAGAGATTACTGTAATGTGTACATGTGCAAGGTTGGTACAACTCAGAGATTATGTAATGTGTACATGTAATGTGTACATGTGCAAGGTTGGTACAACTGCGAGATTACTGTAATGTGATTACCGTAACGTGCATGTGCAAGGTTGGTAAAACTAGAGAATACTGTAATGTCGCACAATGTGCAAGGTTGGAAGTAACGCAGAGATTACTGTAATGTGTACATGTGCAAGGTTGGCATAACTAGAGATTACTGTAATGTGTACATGTGCAACATTGGCATAACTAGAGATCACTGTAATGTACATGTGCAAGGTTGGTACGCAACTAGAGATTACCGTAATGTGTACACGTGCAAGGTTGGCAATAAACAGAGATTATCTGCAATGCGCTGTACAGCAAAAACATTGGCATAACTAGAGATTACTGTAATGTGTACATGTGGTATAACTAGGAGGTAATGCGTAATACAACTAACGGTAGAGATTACTGTAATGTGTACATGTGCAAGGTTGGTACAACTAGAGATTACTGTAATGTGTACATGTGCAAAGGTTGGTATAACTAGAGATTACTGTAATGTGTACATGTGCAACATTGGCATAACTAGAGATTACTGTAATGCATGTATGTGCAAGGTTGGTATAACCAGAGATTACTGTAATGTGTACATGTGCAACATTGGCATAACTAGAGATTACTGTAATGTGTACATGTGCAAGGTTGGTACAACTAGAGATTACTGTAATGTGTACATGTGCAAGGTTGGCATTAACTAACTAGAGACATGTAATGTACATGGCAAGGTTTGGCATAACCTAGAGATTACTGTAAATGTGTACATGTGCAAAACATTGGTATAACCAGAGATTACTGTAATGTGTACATGTGCAAGGTTGGTACACAACTAGAGATTACTGTAATGTGTACATGTGCAAGGTTGGTACAACTAGAGATTACTGTAATGTACATGTGCAGCATTGGCATAACTAGAGATTACTGTAATGTGTACATGTGCAACATTGGCATAACTAGAGATTACTGTAATGTGTACATGTGCAAGGTTGGTACAACTAGAGATACTACTGTAATGTGTACATGTGCAAGGTTGGTACAACTAGAGATTACTGTAATGTGTACATGTGCAAGGTTGGCATAACTAGAGATTACTGTAATGTGTACATGTGCAACATTGGCATAACTAGAGATTACTGTAATGTGTACATGTGCAACATTGGCATAACTAGAGATTACTGTAATGTAATGTGCAAGGTTGTAGAGATTACTGTAATGTGTACATGTGCAAGGTTGGCATAACTAGAGATTACTGTAATGTGTACATGTGCAAGGTTGGCATAACTAGAGATTACTGTAATGTGTACATGTGCAAGGTTGGTACAACTAGAGATTACTGTAATGTGTACATGTGCAAGGTTGGCATAACTAGAGATTACTGTAATGTGTACATGTGCAACATTGGCATAACTAGAGATTACTGTAATGTGTACATGTGATTACTGTAATGTGTACATGTGCATTGGGTTAGGTATAACTAGAGATTACTGTAATGTGTACATGTGCAAGGTTGGCATAACTAGAGATTACTGTAATGTGTACATGTGCAACATTGTTAAAATAACTAGAGATTACTGTAATGTGTACATGTGCAACATTGGCATAACTAGAATTACTGTAATATGTACTGTGGCATGTGAGATTACTGTAATGTGTACATGTGCAAGGTTGGCACAACTAGAGATTACTGTAATGTGTACATGTGCAACATTGGCATAACTAGAGATTACTGTAATGTGTACATGTGCAACATTGGCATAACTAGAGATTACTGTAATGTGTACATGTGCAAGGTTGGTACAACTAGAGATTACTGTAATGTGTACATGTGCAACATTGGCATAACTAGAGATTACTGTAATGTGTGTACATGTGGAAGGTTACTACAAGCATAACTAGAGATTACTGTAATGTGTAAGGTTGAATTTACAACTAGAGATTACTGTAATGTGTACATGTGCAAGGTTGGTACAACTAGAGATTACTGTAATGTGTACATGTGCAAGGTTGGTAAAACAGAGATTACTGTAATGTGTACATGTGCAAGGTTGGTACAACTAGAGATTACTGTAATGTGTACATGTGCAACATTGGCATAACTAGAGATTACTGTAATGTGTACATGTGCAAGGTTGGTACAACTAGAGATTACTGTAATGTGTACATGTGGAAGGTTGTAATGTGTAATGTTACAACTAACGAGAGATTACTGTAATGTGTACATGTGCAAGGTTGGCATAACTAGAGATTACTGTAATGTGTACATGTGCAAGGTTGGTACAACTAGAGATTACTGTAATGTGTACATGTGCAAGGTTGGTACAACTAGAGATTACTGTAATGTGTACATGTGCAAGGTTGGTATAACTAGAGATTACTGTAATGTGTACATGTGCAAGGTTGGTACAACTAGAGATTACTGTAATGTGTACATGTGCAAGGTTGGTACAACTAGAGATTACTGTAATGTGTACATGTGCAAGGTTGGTACAACTAGAGATTACTGTAGTATGTACATGTGCAAGGTTGGTACAACTAGGGATTACTGTAATGTGTACATGTGCAAGGTTGGTACAACTGGAGATTATTGTAATGTGTACATATGCAAGGTTGGTACAACTAACCACTTTCGTGGCTTCTTTTTTGTCATGGAAACAAATATTCTCTCTGATTTCCTAAATGTATCAGAACGGATGGTCCTGCCAACGAGGACAAGTTCTATATCTCTGATTTAACAAACACGCCTTGTCAGCAACAAACGCAGTAACACTCTCGCTCTGTTGGAAGTTGTTCACTTCTCCTACAAATAATCTAATTTCCACAGTAGAGACGAAACTTTCTTTGTCATATAATATTATTCAACAACGAGGTATAATGCGTACTCTTTCATTCACTGCAGGCTGAAACTGGGCACAGTCTACAAAGACGAATCATTCCACCCGAGAAACAATACAGAGAAACGACCTGGAGAAGCACCCCGTTACATTTACTTTGAATTCATATTTAGTAAATATTCCCCCACATCATCTTGCTTCAGTGCTGTTATACGGTTCACTAACAATATGATATCTGAAATAAACATGTAATTGCAACAAGTGGATGGGTAAAGCTATTGGAGTTGTTCTTCTTTATCATTGTGGTGACAGCCCTAAAGTGGTTCGCGATGGCAATCTCCACAGAGCATTGTGGTAACACACTCCTTCAGCCAAGTGGTCAGCATCTACATTGAATGTAGAGGTAGCACTCTTCATTTCCTATTGGTATAACAATCACCAATAGGTACTCCTATTGGTATAACAATCACCAATAGGTACTTGTACTTTTACCTTGTATAGTATTTACAATCTGTTTCCTCAAGTACAGCGGTAACAAGGTTCATCGAAAATGGCAGTAAACATTACCCACAGCGTTATCCTTCAGTTAAACGGGTCGATGTTACTGCTGGTGGACTTGAGCCTGTGAGTTACATTAAAAGAATTTATCGATTACACTGACTGAGAAAACATGTTGTTACTCTGCACGGCACGTTCTATTGGGTGTACAAATGTAACGGTGACCGTACTGCTACATCCAGTCACACGCGCACGCACGCACACCTCCCCCCAAACCCAACACCCCCGCCCGCCCCCCAAAAAAGCCAAAATAAACCCCGTGCGCACACGCGCAGAAACGCATGGGTGCGTAAACACACATACACATTCTCCCTCCCTCTCTCTTCCTCCCTCCCTCTCCCTCTCTCTCACACACCCACACACAGAGTAACAGGTGCCATAATCCTGAGTTATGAAACTTACTACAAATATGTTCAAACTCACTGCATTAAGAGAGATTGAGTGAGTGAGTATAGTTTTACACCGATTTTAGCAATATTCCAGCAATATCACAGCACTGTTTGACTGTGTCATATAATGTCTGATATGTGCTCTAACATGGCTCATTGGCTCATTGTGACCCCCTGTTCTGCCGCTACACACAGACACAACACATACTCGCTGAGGATGAAACTTTATCCACACAGAATAACAGTCAGAGACTGCGGACATGTCGCCACACAGTGTGAGAGCATTGTCCTCCGCCTGTAAATACACATGTAGAGTTAAACACTCTTAGGACTGTTTGACTTCCGGGTGATCATGTTACTGTCAGTCACGCGCACGTCACGTTTGAGTCTATATTATTGCTGAGTTGTTTATGGAAAGCTGACAAATGTACTAAACAAGAATAAACATCAACAATGTGAAATCTCTTTTGAAGGTTGAGCAGGGTGTGAGGACCGTAAACACTCGGAGGTTTTGTTTTTACAAGCCACTTTGACATGTACGAGAAGTTAATACTGTGGTGTAGATGTCTCCTACTGGCGACCCGAGTTGGTCACTCCGAAGACCCGGTTTTGTTTTTACAAGCCACTTTGACATGTATGAGAAGTTAATACTGTAGTGTAGATGTCTCCTACTGGCGACCCGAGTTGGTCACTCCGAAGACCCGGGTTCGATTTCAGACATGGGTATAATATGTGTGAAGCCCATTTCTGATGTCCCTTGCCGTGATAGTGATGGAATATTGCTAAAAGCGGCGTAAAACTTATCTCACTCACTCGGAAATAGTGTAAAATATGAAAACCAGTGTGTTATCCATCCCCACTGACGAATTTGCATCATGACATTAAGTTCATGACGTTAGGGTGTGTTAGGGGTATTGATATTGCAAGGTTCAATATAAGTTTATCAAACAACTTCGTTGCAAGAGTCGCATGAGGCTCTTAGAATGGTATCACTGTTATAGGTTAGAAAATAAGACTACCACAATACTTTGACTTTCGCTGTGCCGACTCCTCAGTTACACCCATGGTCTTGAGTTACATACAGGTGACATCCGTGTGATAGAACAGGAACTATATTTAAAGCGGCGTTAAGCCCAACTTGTTCACCCGTTCAGTATTATAAGAGCAGCATCATAGATCATATATTTGATATAAAAAATACCTTGTAAACTTTGAAAATATATTTCACCAGGGAGCTGCTATTCTGTATATTTTGGTGGAGGCGTACAGCAGAAGTTAAAAATGTAAAAATTGCACGATCAATATTGAAATAATTTTACAGCAAGAAACTGGAGGGGAATCGAGGTGTAAACGCTTTAAACAGAAGAAACGAGTCGCATTGGATTTATGTACAGTGTTGTTTTTGTGTCAGTATTTGTATACAGTTACTGTATGTCACTCGAAGTGCACAAGTGTCTCAGCATTGGTATTGAAGTCCAATTTTATCTGTTGGCATGGATAACACACTGGTTTTCATATTTTGCACTTTTCCCGAGGAGTCAACTAGTACAACATGACAAGTGTGAACAATTACGGCTCAGTGCATAAGCTAAACTAAGGATGGCATTGTTCGATCAGAACCGTGTCATTCAAGCACAAGGATAAGAACCCAGCTGGTAGCGGTTCTCCCTGTTGTACACCAATACGGCATGGGGAGATAGTTTAACTCTCGCAAGCCTCTTGAAAACCAAGACTCACACAATCAATAAACATCAACGGCTCCCTCGTGTCCTGTATATGATATTCTGTCTGTGCTTATGCAGATTGACGTCTATGCACTCAAGGCAGATATGAAATATACGTTATGTTGACAGTTGTGATTGCAACCAGTCACTTGATCTAGTCGTGTGTATGTAATGCGGGTTGAAAGAGTACAACGTATTTAAAACTGTTCAACTACATTTTAACGCCAATGATTAAACATAATGTGAGATTTATGCACTGTCAATCGGTACTGCTGGCTTTGTAGGTGGCGACAACTGTCGTTGGTGTCTTATTTACGATGGTCTTTGAAGTTGTCAGTGCTTCGTGATGTAATATGCGTGTGGCTGCTCTGGGTGGGCACACGAAGCTGTGTGTAAGATATGTTATGATTACCGTCTAAGGGGAGGACACTCGGCGTTTACTTCCTATTCATGAAAGGTGATAAGAATACCCCCAAATATTATAGACTCTTATAAACCTATGGCCAATGTTGTCTATTGTTCTTGTAGTTGCTTCGCATCATGGAATAACCTCGGTAGAGGTTTTACAATGACCATTGTATAACCTCATACGAGGTTTTGAAATGACCATTATTTATGACTTATACAACTTTGTCTTGCTATGACTGATCGTAAAATATCTCATTATTGAAAACTTCCAATATTTAGTGTCTATAACTTGCTTCGAACCCGCAACCCATCGCTCTCTAGCTTGGCGGTTTTATCCACTACGCTACGAAGGATCGCTGTGAGGAATGAGATTGTTTGTCAGTATGAACAATGTGTTTCTTACAAGACAGGTACTGCGGGCAGCGCGTGCAGAGCACGAGCATTGCGCGTGCAGGGCAAGGTGTTGGCTGCCAGTCGCATCCCAGTTGACACCGGCTGTTCCATCATTTGCGGGCTGTTCCATCAATGTTGTTCTACTCGTTTCAGACTGTATGTGTTTAGTTTTCAGAGCTTGTTTGAGTAATTTGTGTTGTCTTAGACGGTTTATAAGTTTGATAAAAGACTCCTCCTCGGAGTCGTGTTTTATCCTACACATAACACTCTTCGGAGTATCTGGGAAAATAGTCTCCAAGATTATTTTGGGCTTCAGGAGAAATTGTTTAAGGGGTGGGGTTACTGTTGATTATTTATATGTATTACAGATTGTTGGGTGTTGATTCTAAAGTTAAAACTAAATAGTTATAGACTGGCATGAAATGCATGGGGACCCTTATATAATAATATATACTGAGGGAAACAAGGGAACACTTCATTACAGTAATCGTTTATTTCTCTGATTTCACCCACAGTGCAACGAATAGAGGACCACTTGTGTTTTCACGTGTTCCTTTATTTGTTTCCCTCAGTATATACACCAGCGGCATGTTCTAACACATGTGGAGGTGTATGTGGATCTGTTATCTCCCTGTCAGGGGTAGTCAGTATAACATTGCCTCATGAATATGTAGGAATCATTGAGATGTGTTATTTCATCGCAGGTATCAAGCTGTCCGAGCTGTCACAACACTCACAGAAATGAATAGTTATAGGCACAGTGATGATAAATGGAGACAGATGTTGCTGGAGATTAAATTTCCAGCCACTTGGTTGCAACCAGATGAGTCTGTAATCAAAGTGGCTAATGTTCATCTCCACTGACTTTGTCCCACTGGCTGGATGGCTGGAAGCAGGAGGCAGGTCATGTGTATAGTTTGGCATGAAATGCATGTGGACCCGGTTTTTGTAAATATCTCTTCATCCAATGACCCAATCGATCTCAAACTGTGCAAGTGGATGTTTTGTCAGACAACCTAATCACATTGTAAATCACCGATTTTATGCATTTGTATTAAAGAATCAGTCTATGTAACTGTCAACAAAATAAACAGCAGTTTCATGCCAAACTATAACACTGAATCAGACCGTAAGAACACATTGCGTGAATCCAACACAGAAATGTGTACCAATTGTATTCTAAAATTAATTACGTTCACAAATCAGTGCAAAGGCCTTGCTATGGTAGATCAATATAGTGGCAGTATAAGCTCAGGGGCAGTATAATACAAAAACAGTGTTTGTAGCAGTATAAACAATGATGGTGATATTCACCTCTCAGGGTGAGTAATTCAACTTGCAACTGAGGCTAGGCAAGGTATATGATCATCACACTCAATGCTGGTCTTCTGGCTAGCTATTTTCGAAACGTTCGTAGCCCTACGAACTTCTTAAGCCCATTCTACGATCAAAGTTAAGAATTCTTAGGGCTACGAACGTTTCGAGAATATGGGCCCAGGTTACTTACTACATGTAATGCGAGATGAAAGGCTAGAGTTAACTCCCATTAGATCTCTCTGAGGCTGATCTTTCCAAATCCTTCTACACTGTTGTCAGCATCATTGCAGATGCCTACAAGACTGTGGCACACGTATAAATATTACACACCACTGTTCCTCCCTGAATATCACATGTACAATGTACAACTGTTATAACACTGTTGCACAGGATATATCACTGCCTCATAACAAGATACTGTTATATATAAATATTTACCATTGCATAAAGGAAGGCGTTCATGTAT